GAAATAAGAGCTTCCAAAATAATCATAAACTGAAGAAATTCATGACCACTAACTCAGCATTGCAGAAGATACTAAAGGGATTATAAACCAGACAAGGATATCCATAAGTGCCTGGGAAAGAATAAATCTCATTGGATGCATAGATTTATGAAAATCAGGAATAAGCCGACATTAGAAAAACAATAGAATGATGGGAAGTTCACTAATAATACTTAACATAACTTTTCTTAATTCTTCAATTAAATGGCACAGATTGGCAGATTGGATCTGAAAGCAAGACCCAATTTACGTTGCTTGTCAAAACCACATTTTGCCTCCAAAGACATACACAGATTAAAAGTAGAAGAATGGAAAATGGTACTCCAAACAATTGGAGCTTTAAAGAAAACAAGTGTAGCTCTACTTGCATTCAACAAAAACTTTTAGAAGAGACAAAGAAGAACACTACCCATTGATAAAGAGAAAAAAAATGACCAAAAAATAGACCTGAGGATCAATGGAATAGATTAGAAGATGCTGAAGTCCCTACGAACACACTCAGCCACCTTATCTTTGACAAAGGGGCCAAACATACTCACTGGAAGAAAGATAGCCTCTTTAACAAATGGTGCTGAAAAAACTGGCTCTCTACATGCTGAAAACTCAAAGTTGACCCAGGTCTATCACCATATGCTAAGCTAAAGTCAAAATGGATTAAAGATCTAAACATTTAAAAAATCACCAAGAAGAGTAGAAAACAATTATAATATACAGGCCCTGAATGTTGGCATACCCACTTTCATAAAACACACAAGAGAACAGGGAGACCTCAGAGCAGTCACTGTGACTGGCTTCAATATTTCACTCTGGCAAGCAGTCAGTACAGCCCCACCCAAATCAACAAAGGAACATAAAAGAACTTAACAAACACCTAGAGTGCTTCTTTCCAACAACAGCAGACAAAATGCACACTCTTAGGTAACTTGACAGAACTTTCTCCGAAACATATCACATTTTAGGCCACAAAGTAAGTTTTAAAAATATAAAAAATGTAAGTAATCTCATGCATCCTATTGGATCATAGTGGAAAAACTAGAAGCAAAGAGCACAAGAACCACAGAAAGTACACAAACATTTTTGATTCGTCAGTGGCTCATTAAAGAAACTAGGCTGAGGCAATTAGCAAATTCATCAAACTAATAGTAAAGGAAACAGTGCACCAGAAGGTGTAGGGAACAATGGAATCATTCTAAGAAGGAAGTTTATAGCTACAAGTGCTTCTGTTAGGAAAACAGGATGATTCTAAATAACATAAAAATGCATTGCTATTAGACAACGAAGAGAGGGCAAGGAGAAAAGCTAGGAAACATAGGCAAAGCCATACATATATATGCACAAGATGGGTAAGGCACTGGTCCTGAGAATCTTCAGATGCTTTTGAAACTAACAGTTAATTGGTAGGATTCTTACCCTGACTAACTATATATGCTGATACCTGTGAACTAAGCAACTGCACTGAAGAAAGCAATGTGTATTGGTAGGCTCATGCTTGGAATGCCTGTCATTGCGGTCTTTTAATTATGTACTGCTTGTCATGACATACCAATTACTGTCATACTGTCTTTTAATTAAATGTTTGTTTTTTTAAAAAGGGGGTAATAACTGAAAACAAGAGAAAAAAAGGTCACAGGACTGTCCTGCTACAAAGCTGTATATTGTTAGATTTTTGTGTAAAAATATGTAAATGTTTATTCTTATTTGAAAAATATTTTTATCTTTTTAATCTTTTTCCTTCATATTCTGCAGTCAAATGCTCTACCCCTGAGCTATACCCCATTCCTTCATATTCTGGAGGGACTCAAGGTTTAACATATCAATACTTGATGGAAAATACCTGTTCCATGTTATGTCTAAGATGTTTGATATCCAGACAGATAATTAGGTTAAGCTCAACTGCCTAGGTTTTAGGGTAATAACAAGCTTCTCTTCTGGAGGGTTAACAACCTAAGTTTTCAGAACAAAAAAGAAAACATTTTGGCCCTAGCCTTTCAAGGTCAATGAGGACTCAGGACAAAGGAGAACCTGCACTGTAACATCATGTAACTCAATTGTGTACCAAATTTTCTGCTCAAGGAGATTATGGGGCCACAGAGGAAAATGAACGATGATGTAGAGTGTGCCTAAGGAGAGTCACCTGGAAAGAAAACATTCTCTCAGGCTTTCACAGAGAGCAAATTGATCAAGCAATGGCCATGACTCATCCACATGGCTGACACTGACAAAGGATCTATAAACTGTGGTATAGGGTTTCCTGAGGGGATTTGACTGACATTATCAGATACAAAAGTTACATTTCTTGTTATATAGGTCTTGCTTTATCTTGATCTTAACCATCCAGTATTTCATTACTATGAAAATGAAGTAATAAAAAGTAAAGCCATATTAATATGCTGAGCTGTAAAAGGCTCAAGTCAACAACTTTGGACATCGCCAGTCTTACAGAAAACCCACTACTATTATGGACTACTTGACTATATTGGGATATTTTGCTGAAGTCATGCACCTACAGTATTTAAAAGACAATGGAATGCTCTTCTCTGACAAAACTAACTAAAAAGTGGGATAGAAATGAAGGACCATTTTGTATCTGTATACTCAAAATAGTTAGGATAGATATACAGCTCCATTCTTTTAATTCAATGAATAGAGAGGTTTGTTCTAATAGTGTTTGAGACAGGATATTATGTCTTCATCTTGTACAATGAATAACCACTAAGACAATAATATGCAATGTATTAATTATTGAAAATGTGCTAGTAATCAATTGTGAAACTGTCTCATTTTTATTTATCTCTCAATAAAATTATTTCTTAAAAAATGCCTTGCTAGAACCTAGAAAAACAAGAACAAACCAAACTCCGAACCAGTAGAAGGAAAGAATTAATGAAGATCATAAGTTAAGAAGCCAGGTGTGATGGTGCACACCTGTAATCCCAGCGCTCAAGAGGCTGAGGCAGGAGGATTCCAGCAAGTTCGAGGCCAGCATGTGCTACAAAGTGAATTCAAGCTCAGCCAGAACTGCATGGCAAAGCCCTGAATCAAAAAGACAAAGAAAAAAAAAAGACAAAAAAAACCCAAAGTTGGTTCTTTAAAAGAGACACAAGACTAACAATCCCTTAGCCAAACTAATCAACAGAGAGAGAAGATCTAAATTAACAAAATTAGACATGAAAAGGCAAAATTACAGCGAATGTTCTAATCAACCAATGTCCTAATAAATTGGAACCCCTTGCAAGATGCCTTGTCAGTGTTTAATGAATGTTTTTCCCCCTTTATTTAAGTAGCACTTACTGTATACTGTACTAGATATTTTAACTAAGGCAGCAAGTATAACAAAGTCACACAGGAGTTGTTCTGCGGTGGGGCAATCCAGGTAATACGTAAGGGCACTTGTAATTTGTTAGGTGGTAAGTGATGCGAAGGACATGAAGTTTAATTTACAGAACAGGAGACCTCTTCTTTTGAGGAAGCTCTGGCAAGTAGATAGCATTGCATTTGAAGCTTCTGCCACTCCAGGGAAAGTCTGAAATATCCAGTGTTCCCTCCACCCTCACACAGTCAGCTTCCATCGCTGGGCTGGGAGCGTGGATCTTCACCCTTGCTTGCTCTACTCCAACTTACTATAAGGGAGCTTGTCTTCCAGTATCACTCTACAGTTCAGTCCCCCTCCCCATCGCACCATCATCCGGAACCTTGTCAACAAGCTGGTGAACCAGGCCATCACCCAGCCTTCCTGTGTCCCTTATAAATATGTTAGCATGAATGCTTTTCTTCTTGAGGCAAATTGAAGTGTTTTGTATGAAGTAAATGAAGGTATGGTCACACAGTCTTGCACATGAGCTGAGAACAAAGACACAGCCCACTTGGGTTTCCCAAGAAATTGCAAAAGGGTTTAAAAGAAATAAACATCCATGTTAAAGCTGAAAAAAAAAAAAAGGCTATTTCAGGGGCAGGAAAGGTCTCTGATAAGATGAAATCTGGACTTCAACCTAAATTAAATACAAAACCCACGTTGCTATGAAGATGAACAACCATCAGTATATGAAATGGTAGATGGACTTTACTGAGAGATAGGAAGCCAAATGAGGGTTTTAAGTGGAGGATGAATTTGATTTTACATATATTTTTAAACCCTGGCTTTTGGGTGGACTGTAACCTAGTAGGGAATGGAGCTTCAGGACTGGTAACAAAGACCCCTAAGCCCTACTGTCTGTGTGGGCTAGGCAGGAGAAGGGGTTTGCATTTCAGATACATTTTGAAATAGAATCAGTGCAGTTCACCAATGGATTGACTGTAGGGTGTGAAGGAGGAGGACAGCAGGATGAGGTCAAAGTTTGCAATCCAAAAGACAAAAGCTGCGTGCCCTAACTTAATACGAAGGGTACAGAGGCACATACGGAGAAAGGCTTAGGACAAGACAGAGCAAAGTGAGGCAGCCACAAGACAGGGAAGGGCAGGGATTGGCAGCAAGCCACCAGGCATGAGGAAGAGGCAAGGGAAGATTCCCCTACAGATTTCAGAAATCATGGCCCCATCAGCAACTCAATTACTGACTTGTGGCTTCCAGAACTGTGAGGCAACATGTTTCTGTTGTTTTATGACACCTAGGTTGTGGAACTTCATTATGAAAGCTGTGGGAAAGGAAGCTGACAATACAGCACCTCCCCACTGACAACATATGTGGGAATTGCTTACTCAGAATCTTCTGACACCAAAATGAAACAGGGGTGGGGGGTGGGGGCGGGGTAGGGTGGGAAGTGGGGACGGAGTGGGTTGGGTTGAGTTTGTCATTCTGCTGTATGAGATCACAGTTAATGTTAGATGAACTTAAAGTCTAATCATTTTTAGATAGTAAAAAGGGTATAAACAGCTATCAAAAGCACTATATATTAGAGCAGTTAAAATTGCTACGCCTTTACACTGAAATCTAGAATACTTATAGCAGAATTGAGAAAGCTCACCTACATAAATGTCATGAATAATGCTATCGCTTGATAATGCTGACAGATTTCCATGTCCTGCAGCTGTGTTTAGAATTCCAGTAGAAGAGAAATTTTGATAAGAGTAGTATATCTTGTGCTTGTCCCACAGGATTAATTCTGGCAATCCTGACAAGAGGAAACGAGGAACTAAAAAACTGTCGAAGGGGACGTCTAACACGAAGTCTTGAGGCACCCACTGCATGGAGTCTTCATTATATATCACTATGTAAATCTTTTTGGTGTGAGTGCATGTGATGCAATAATTTAACAACACGGCAAATTCCAGAGGGTGCCCTGTATAGTCGACGTTGTGTATTGTCAGGGTACTGCTTGGCGGAAGATTTAAAAGGCTTTTCAGTTCTGTAGTGCTTATCATTTTGACAAATTTATTTTCATGATATCCAAAGTAAATTTCATTTTTTGTCCAGACTGCAATGTTGCTTATTTGTTTTACGTTCTGTAAAAAATAATAAAAACAAGTAGTAAAACCTTCAACCACAACGCCCAGTTCAAAACTTTAAAAATATGATCCCCAGTCCTAGCCCAGGTCCGGTGAGTGTGTGGAGAGCTTCCTGCTACCCTGCGCCGG